AAACCCATGCATAAGTAGTTTTTCATTACTAGCATGTATCATCATTTTGCTACAGTACATAGTGATATGTATGATAGGATACTTAGTACCATCATACTTCTCAAACTCTGACACTTTAAACTTAGGCAACACACCACGTCTGATTCCAAGCAAAGTTCCATAGCACCCATAGATCCATAGAAATCCATTCCCTCTACAGCTCTTAATCTTTTCTCGAGCTTGCTCATGGCCTAATCAATTTTAAAACTTTTTAAGGGCATAGCTGTTTATTGTTTCTATTTCTCTTTTACTTCATCTGCAATAGGAAGTTAAATGGGTTCAACTATCTTTTTAGCATAAACAAGATTATCATAACTTTGGATGTTCTCATGATCGGATGCATAAGTTATTCCTGGATAATTGTATTTTGGAAAAGCTACTTGTTATGGTTGGAATATTGGGGTAGTTTGAGATTATTATGGATCGAAGCCTAGGGGATATGTCGATTCAGTAACTTCTTGTAAAGTATCTTCTTTCACTGATTTTTTTCTATTTACTTTTTCCAAAGCTTTCAAAATCTTGTTTAACTTTTCCTTTAGTGTTTCTTAGGCTTTTTCTATCTATTTAAGGTGACTTGTATTATCCTGTTCCATCTTTCTAACTCAAGCTCGAGTATTAAATTGATGTGTAGTTATTCTTAGACCTTAGTACCATAATTTAAGATTCAATGATAATGTTATGATAATAAATGCCTGAACAAATGTAATGCAAATGCATGAAAAGAAGAACATAAAAGAAAAGAAGAGAGAATAAAAGAAAATATTTGCCCCCAAAAAAAATCTAATAAAAAAAACTTTTATTTATTCCACAGGAGTCTGTTTTACATCAAATCTAATATTGTTCTTTTGTAAAACACCTAACTTGCTCATACTGATCCTTAGCCTCTTCAATAAAGTTTAGCAGCCTCTGTCCATGCTTTCCTACTAATGTAACCAAAGCTCTCAGTGCCTTAGCTTTTTCTACCATTTAGCCTGCTTTGATCATGACCTTGCCTATCTGAGCTGTGAAGTGCTTTATGTATCTTTGTCTTTTCATCCTTTCTCTTTTGTCACACTACACCTGATAGGATAACTCTCTATAACTTTTCATGAGGGTTCTGACATGATTTTTTTGTTCATTTAACTTCAATATCAAAGTTAAAATGTAATCTGTAAACATCTGATTCTCTTACTCAACCTTTATAAAGTCACTTCTATTTGGGAATGCTTTTTTTTCAACTCTTCATTCTCATGAGCCAGTTTTATGTTGTTTATTTCTTTGGCCTATACCTGTATATGCAACCTCTTATGTTCTTGTCGTAGCTCTTTGAGGGTATCATCATATTCTCTAACAACTTTCTAGGCCTTATTGTATTCCTTAGAAATCCTATGGACTTAGATTTCTAATTTTTCTACTTTGTTTTACCACTGGTCCTTTTCTTCTTACAACTTCAAAATTTCTTGTCTCAATTTCTCCTTTTTCATTTCATGCTCTAACTTTGAAAGCTTTTTGTCTAACTCTTGACCCACTGGCAGATGAAGATCTTGAGACATAAATGTAATCTTTTGACCCTTTTTATTTCTTTCGATCAGATACCCTTGAGTGATCTATCAATAAATGGCCCTAAGCTTACTCTCTTAGGCTTCTTCTAAGCCTTAATCATGCCATTAATCTTCTAAAAAGTTTCAGGTTTCCTATATGAGTAGTTAAACAGGCTGAGCTTGCAAGTCATAAGAATAAACTGTTCAACTTCATGTTGTCTTCTTACCATCAATGGTGCATAACTCGTTGACCCTCATAGACCTAAAAGTGGAACCCCTGTCTCATCTCCACATTGATACAACATAGGTTTCCCTGTCTATTCACGGAGCTAACCATTTTACCTGAGCAACTGTAAGCCCTTATAGCAGATATTTCCATTCTTTTGAGTATTTATTTTTGGCCAAGTGCTCTGACAGAATTCTCTAATCGAACTCTGAATGTAAAAATAAAGTTTGATAAAAAACTTTTCTTACATTCAAAATGGCTCTTCATCCATACATATAATAAAGATATGCAGCTCATGAAATGTGCTTTGTCATTCTGCCTACAAAAATTCAAAGATCTGATGGTTTCTGCTAAGATAATTGGTGAAAGATTACACTCTTTTTCAATCTGCTCAAATAAATCCACCACTTCTATCTCAATATGGCCTAAGACCTTAGGAAAAATAACCAACCCATATATGGCTAGAACAAATGCATTCATTCCCTGATCATCATCTAGATGCTTGGTAATGAAATCTTAGAGAACCTCTCATGAAATATCCTTATACTCTATTTGCTCTTGGATGTATGAATCTATGACCTCTTTTCCTACTCTTAAAATCTAGCCCAGCTTCTACGACTTTCTAACTTGTGTTTTTTCTTGTATATTCTATCTGGATATAATAAATGCATACCCACTAAAATTGAGTATTCTTCTATTATTGATACTAGATCAACCTCATTAAAGATGAAACACCGATAAAAAGGATCCTAAAACTATACCATCACCTTAATAAGTGAATGGTCAACCTTTACTGACATGAGATATGCAATATGCCTAAATTTCTCACAAAAAGTCTCCTGCCTTGAAGAGGTCATATTAGTCCATATATCTTATAGGCTTTTCAGATCATTATGTTTAAGAAGTAGTCGAACTTCTTCTGATAGTGTAGAGACATGACCAGGTGGCAAACAATCTCCTTCTTCTAGCTGCTTCTTTTCTGATTCTAACTTCACCTCTATATGAGAGTCACATTTGAATAGTATAGATGAGATGCAAACCTGACGTTCTGTGAAATCCATGAGGGCTTTTGCTGGAATAGCTTTAGGGTAAGAACACTATGCATTCTGTAAACATGTTTATGAATGTGCACAAAAACAAAAAAAAATAAAAGAAAACAAAGAGAGAGTTAGTCGCTTCAAAAAACATAAAGTAAAAAAAAAAAAACAGCAAGTTAAGATAATAGCATGACCCTGAATTTTGAATTATCTACAAAGGGTGAGAGAATAAGGCTCTATCTATGGTTAGGCTCTTAAAGTTGACTATATGCGATTTGGGTTAATTCTAAAAGGTTCTTAAATTATTCCTTACATCATGGTCCATTACAGACTAGTAAGGCACTCCAATCCTCACCCATCATAGCTACAAGTAGAAAGGGTTCAATTTGAGTGAGAATTTTTTACAGGCCCATACAGAGACATAAATCTCATGAATGCATAGATACTTCACTCCCTCATACAAGTAGAGCCTGGGTGGAAGGCTTATGTTGTGCCCATGCAAATGAATGACAAGTATATATACAATAAACAAATAAATAAGCAAATATGAACAAATAAATAAGCAGGTATACACAAGAAAAATAAATAATAAAACAGATATAAGCTATGAAAGGGAATAATTCTAAACTTATTAAGCAAGGCTTGGATAATAACAAGTCATTTACTAACTTGACTCTCAAGGTCCCCAACGGAGTCGTCAAACTATCATAACATATAATTTATATTTTAAAGATACCCAAATCAAGTTTCGGACTCCTCTTTAAAATGAGAGAGATTTAGTTAAGTGACTAATCACCTCTAAATAAAAAAAATTGATGGTAACTTTTAAAATCTATGTCTAAGGATAGGTTCATAAATTTATACGTTATGAGAAATTTACTTATGAAATATTTACATTATTATTAAATGAATTTATAATTCTTTCATTTTGAATAAAAAATGTATGATATCTCACTTTTTATAAAAGAAAACTTTTCATAAAAGCTACTAATAAATTAAAACTCATAAAAAAAATAAACTATTAAAAGTAAAAAAAAAATTACCACTAATCTAGTAGTAGTAAAAATCGTTAAGGTATTTTTGGTAGGATCAAAATGAGAGCGACTACTATTGAAATGTTCATTTTACTTAAAGATTGGTAAGATGAAGAAGTCCAAGCTAAGTGAATTATCAAATGATGAAATGAGAAATAGAATAAAAGTCTTGTGTCTTATAATTTATGTTTTGTATGTTTTGAAATATTAGTATTTTAAATTTTAATATCTTTATTTAGTGGATTTGATTATCACTTTCCAAAGAAAGTAGGCACATTGTCTAACCACATAAATTATATATTATTTTTATTTTTATTTTATTTTTCTTACATATTATTTTTAATAATAGATAATAGATAAAAAAATTAAAAATAATAAAAATTTTGAAAAAAATATTAATGGATCATGCTTGGCACGTCTCTGACACAAAAATCTCATAAGAGTTACAGATCACGTGTCATGTTGGATCGTATCTTTAATTTTTATAGGCCATACTCACACGATCTGTTAAAAAATAATGTTAGGCTAGCATCTGTCCGTTAACACATGGACTAATGTTAGACTGTTGGCATGATTCATTTGACACGTGTACTATTGAGTAAAAATTCATTTTCCTTCAAAAGTCAACTTTTGCTTGTGCAATCTAACGTAACAATCTAATATTTAACAATTTAACATAATATCATATATTATATATAATATAATAATGTAAAATTATTAAATAAAATTTATTTGCGTTGAATATTTTCACTCAATGACACGTAGAATAAAGACTAAATTTATATGTTATAAATATTTCAAATATTAAAATTTAAAAGAAAATTTCCCCAATTATCTATTACATATTAAATTGTAATAAAAATTTAAATTTAAAAAATTCATTTTATTTGATTTAGATATCATAAATTATGTAGATTTTTTTTTAAAAAAAATTTGACAGCCTAAAAAGGGATAATTTTACTTTCATGAATTCCTTATAACAAACTAATATATAGCAAATTAGTATAGCATCTATACTACAATAGATAAAAAAAAAAAAAATCTGTAAAGATTCTGTGTTGGACACCTTTTTTTTTTTTTTTTTTGAGTTTTTTGGGTTTAAGCTGTCAAAGTTATCTTTTTATTTAATTTTGTGAATGTATGAAGTTATTTTGTTGAGAGACAGTTATCGCATTGCATGTAAGATAAAAAAGAAGATGTGGCATTGCATGAAGGATGTGGTAATCCAAGGAGAAGAAAAAGATACATTTGGCATGTTATGTGGCATGATGATGCATAGACCGGATTCTAAGCATTTGATCGAAGAATCTAAGAGTAGAGATATCGGTATCTGTAAAAAAGAAAGTCTCAATCGCCAAAAAGGAATCTTCACCTTCTCCTGCTAATAATCCTTCTTCCACTGGTCTCCCATTGGATGATGAGCATGAGAACTCGGCAGTAACAAAAGCTTGAGCATTATTTCCTTTTATTCATTTGTTCTTTTGGGGGTTTATAAGTCTGGAAAGCTTGAAAATTTTCCAATTTGAAAAATTTTGGTGTTTCGGGAATTCAACAATTTGTGAGATTGAGAGTCAGCGAGAAGAGAAGCTCCAAATAGATCTAATGGTGTGGATCCTGTTTTTGTTAAAATACCCAAGCTTTTTCTATCTTCCTGATTAATTCTTGACCATGGAATTCTAAGATTTTTTTCCTATTTTTTAGGCTTTTCCTCCGACTAGATTATCTTCAGAAAGGGATGGTGAGATTGATTTTGGGCCTTCTGATCTTAAACCAATGGCCACAGATATGGAATTGGTAAGTCTCCTAGCTGTCACCTATCTTTTGGTGTGATGTTGTGTCATAAATAAATGGTTTTTTATTTGCTTTGTTGTGTAGGAGATGAAGGCTACCACAATGGAAGATGAAAGAGAGTGAAAATCAGAAAGAAAGATGTGAATGTGGAAGCTGAGGATAATAATAAGCCCAAACCGATCGATGAAGAAGCTATATGACATAAACTAGTTGTAAATAAACAAAGGAATAATGATCTTCAGCTTGATTTGGAGAAATCTGATAGAGATAGTGGCACAAGTAGTGGTTGTGCGAACAAGCTCAATCACCATGTTCAAAAGTTGCAGCATCAACAACCCAGTATAGAGAAAACTGGTAAAAATAATCCTTTTTTTCCTTTTTCTGCTTGGGAAAATTCCCTTGTCTCCATGTGTTGCTGATCTGGAGGTTTTTCTTTTTTTTTTTGCCTTCTACAGCACAATCTGGTTCTTGACCTTTGCCGATGTCAAAGGCTAGCTGGCCTGGTGGACTTCCTCCAATAGGGTATAGCTGGGTTGATTTGATATTTGTTTTGTGGTTTTTTGGCATTAGGAGATCTAAACCAGTGATTTAGATGTTATAATTGGGGGAAATGACTTTTTCTTTTCCTGATCAGATGCATAGCGCCTCTACAAGGTATTGTGTACATGGATGGTAACATAGTATCTTCTGTAGATATGCAGGCATGTCGCTGTGTTCTTTATATTCACAAGTCTAGATTTCTACTTCTTTTTTTTTTATTAATTTATCTTGAAATTTTGGACTTTTGCAGCCTCCACAGTTGCTTTTTACTCAACCAAGGCCAAAGAGATGTGTGAATTGTGTACAAGATAAGGGGCAGATGCCAGTGCACGGTTGATATCAAATCAGTAGCCAAATCACAATGCCAGTTCTGCGCATGCATCCTCTTCTGATGATGAGGAAAAGAATTCAACTTTGGCGGTTGTTGACAGGTCTACAAGGACCCCATCTCATCTGCAAAGACGATCAGTAATGGGGCCAGGGTAAGGGCTGGACAAGGGCAGCCGAGGATGTCCAGGATCATTAGTGCAATTGGTGGTGAGAGAGGTGCACAGGTGGTCGCTGGTTGGCCTTCTTGGCTAGCAGCTGTATCTGGAGAAGCCATCAATGGGTGGATACCTCAAAAGGTTGACTCATTTGAAAGGTTGGAAAAGGTCACCATAGCTGTATCTTTCATTATTGATTATTGTGTTCTGTTCCATTGCTAATTGTATTCAGTGGTTCAAAAACTTTTGTTTTTTCATGTGTATGCTTACTTTGAAATTTATAATATATATGGTACATGCAGTTAAAATGGCCTTATGTTTCGTTGATGTGCATTTTCATACACATTATTTCATCCTGTGAGGGGTTGTATCCCTTTGATTTATGTCATATTCCCTTTCCTCATTCATTAACTTGACTGTCCTGCTAATTATGTACATATTGGTCAAGGAACTTACAACAGTGTGTACAAAGCATGTGACCTTGAATCAAACAAGATAGTTGCCTTGAAGAAAGTGCGATTTGTTAATATGGACCCTGAAAGTGTTTGTTGCATGGCAAGAAAAATTATTATTTTGCGTAGGCTTGATCACCCTAATGTCATGAAGCTTGAAGGTCTAATTACTTCCAGGGTGTCTGGAAGTTTATACCTTATATTTAAATACATGGAGCATGATCTTGCAAGGCTTGCAGCAAAACCTGGGGTTAAATTCACTGCTCAGGTATATTCATATCTTCAATATATTTGATTATATCATCAATGTTGTTCAAATGAGAATAGAATTGGTGATTCTATAATCTTATGGAATTCAAAGGAGTAATATTCGTGGTGGAAGAACACAATTTTATAAGTCTGTTACATCATGAACTGTGACTGGATCTTCATTCGTTTTTGATAGTACATATTTTGCACGATATTAATCCAGGAAAACAATCTTCAACAACTTCTGCATGAAAAAAAAAATCCAATTTATCCAAGGGTGTTCTTGGACCAAGCTAGGTCTCTATGATCTTCTTTTTTGAGTTTTTACATTTCATAATTTGGTGTAGAAATGCAAATGAACTATTGTTTTTGGGTGGTTCTTGATGCATTGGATGCAACTATTTGTTGATTTTGGTAGATGAAAATATAACATGATGTGTCTGAACAGTAGCAATTATGCTCAATTATGCTACTATCTCTGTAGGTTTTGTTTCCTCTTATGTATGGTAGCTAAAATTATTACACTTTGCAGTCAAAGTGAGAAAGGCCATAGTTGGTGCAAGAGCAGCAAACACTATGCTCAGCAGTGTGCAAATATATCCTAAGTTACATCATAGTCTTTTTTCTTTCTCAAACTTTACAACTAGACTGAAAGGAATATAAATTATGGTTGTTTATGATAATTTGTGCATCTGAAATGCAGTTTATAATATGAAATTTATGTTATCACTTATAAGTGGGATTTCTTTTGCAGATTGGGTAGCACTTCAAGGATGGCTACTTGCATAAAGATGAATTTAAAATAGTTTATGTTGCCCTGATAAAGGTTGAACCCTCCATATATTTTTCTATCCCTTCCTTAGGAGGATTGGTTGGTGATTGACTACTTATTTTTAATTATATTTCCTAGACATTAGAGTTTTGTTAGGAGGTTGGTGTCAATTTGCAATTGACAACAATTTAAACCCAAGCAACCATTGTATTTTCATGAAAATTGGTCCAAAAAAATTTTAAGTGATTGCATATAATGGTAATTAGTAATTGCCCAAAATAATTTTCGATTAAGATAGTTTTTTAACTTAAAAATATTGAATGTATTATAGCAATTACCCTTTTTCACAATTCTTTATCTTTAAAATATTTATTCAACATTCTCTACTTACTTTCACAACTCATCTAAGTTCTTATTTCTATAATTTTTTGGATTAAATTATAATTCAATAATTAATTCATATTAACTGCATATATCACTCTGAATTTAAATTTAATTAATTGCCGAGCCATATAAAACCTTTCTCCCTTTTCTTTTGTTCATTTGTTGTTGATGGTGCAATTAACAGTGATAAGACATACTTAAAAAGAAACTATCTTAATTAAGAAATAAGCAAGAGTGAAAAAGGTCTCGTGATATCTACGTATGTCATCGTGATTAATTCTTGATTATTGCACTTTTGTCTTTTCTGTAATTAAGATATTTTAGATTTTCCCCTTAATTACTTCATTTTATCATTTATTTTTCTTATCAAATGAAAGTTGAATATATGTATTTTGTATATCATAATATTTTTTGAAAACTTGGCATACAATTATGTAAAGAATGCTAATTAGTTTAAAAGTTTTTGTGTATATAATATATAGTTTAATAAAATTAATCCATAGTACAAGTTACAAACTAATTTTAAATTTTAATAAAATTAAAAAAAATCTAAATATTAAATAAAAATTCATGTTTTTAATTTTTTAGAAAAAAATATTTGAACTTGGGACTATATCAGTTTATAATCTAATCTGGACAAGTCTAATAAAAATTTTGAAGTCTAAATTTCTCGTTAGACTGACTTTACCAGGCTTGTGGGCACATTTACTTCAAACCCACGTACTTGATGGATCAAATTTATCACTGTGGTTAAAAACGATAAAAAATCAAAGACATTCCCAATTCTTGATTCAACTCCAGTCTTGAATATAATCTTTTAAATTCGAGTCCTGAATATAATGTTTTAGACTCAAGCTTGGCCTAAAAATATTTTTATGTTAATAAATATTATATTTTAATTAAATTTTAATTTTAAAATATATTTAAAATTATATAATTATTTGTAACACCTTAATGATAATTCTAAATTAAATGGATGAGTCGAAGTCAAACTCGTAGACTAAACCTTAGAAGATTGAAACAAAGGTAAAACACATTAATAGTCACTTAATTATATGAATTTTTTAAAAATAATTATTAAACTATTAAATTTTTTTTATTTAGTCACTACCCACTAACGTTCAAATGTGTTTTTTCTTTGTCACTCCGATGTTACTATAGTATGCTAATATGACAAGCCACACAACTGTCAAGTGCCATATCAGCTAACCATGAATAAAAGTCTTTTTTTTTTTCACTTTTTTCCTTTTCTTTCCTCGCAATATCTCTGCTTTCTCTTTAGTTTCTCTTTAAAACCCACCATCAAATTTGAATAAAAAAAAAAACACAATCCAAAGATAAGCAAATTCAATCTTCAAATACACAATCCAGAGCCTCAACACAACCAAAGCTACAATCAATTGGCACTAAACGAACCATTCAAACACAAGTCCTGTCAACATTACACAACAACAATAATCATCAATAAGAAATTTTGGGCATTAACAATAAACCGACAATTTCTAGAAGCAAGCATTTAAAATACAAATACACAACATAGCCACACTAAACAACAATCAACAAACCCTACCAATGTCTGAAGTATCATTTGCCATATTCAGTTCCACAATCCAGCAAAATCACAATGCATACTAGAGAAGTTAAGAGGGTTGAGGTTCATATCAATAACCATAGTTGATGAAGAACTCTATTGTCCTACTGTTGATCTACCAGCTAGAGATGCCATGAATACAGGTGCATTTGTTAAAGAGAGCGCCTCTCATTCATTGGCGTGTAGGTCTTCAAAGAGAAAGAAATAGAGATAGGTTTCCCGTGAGTGGTTTTGTTAGTGTTTGGGGTCGATCAATTAAACAACAAGAGGAAAGGAATAAAAATGGGTTTCTAGTGACAAAGAATAACAACGGTAAAGAAGACAAGGGTTTGCGGTTCAAAGTTTTCTTAAGGTTTTTGGAAATCAAAACCAATGGGAGGATGGTGTTTTAGGTAGGATATGAATATAGTTGGTGTTGAGGAGATTTGGAATAAGGTAAGTGAGATTTTAGCTAATAGATGTTCTTGATTTTAGGATATAGATCTACAAAGTTAGGTTGTTGATTTTAAGGTATAGATCTACAAAGTTAAGGGAGCTTTTTTGTGAAATCGAGCCTAAAAGAAAGATTAGGATCGTTGCAGACAAGCGACAATAGGTGATGGCAGATGATCGCTAGTTGTCGATTTTTGAATTTATTTTTGGATAAATTACATATATATACCTTATGGTTAAACATGATTTGATTTTGCCTCTTAAGGTTTGAAATGTGACACATTACCACTCTAAGTTATTTTTTCATACTATTCCATTAGTATTTACTAACTTCATTAACACCTAAACCTTTATCTTTCCCCTAGCGCCTTCTTATCTCTTTATCCCTCATTCTCTTTCAAAAGTTTTGGTAATCCATACACAAATCCAAAACCACCTCTTTTTCTTTCTCTTCATCATCTTCCACAAAAATCACTTCTTTTTCTTTCTTAAAGTACCTTAAAGCATCAAAAGCTTGCCTTTTTTATTTACTTAATCTACCACTCATAATATTCCTTTTACAGCTTTTAAATAAATCTTAGTTAGGATTTAAAGCTGATAATCCAAATTTAAAGTATTTGATAGGGGTGTGAATTTCTCTAAGAAAGGGAAGCTTAGTTTTTAGGTAACGAGAGATTCTCAAAATAGTGTTGTTCAAGGATAAAATTATTTTTTTTGGGCTTTAATTCACTTAAGAAAATCTAGATTTTTTAGAAAGTTGAAAATCTAAGGAATTTGAATATAGGGCTTTATTTTTATGACTAAAATTGAAATAAAAATACTTATCACCACCATATTTACAATTACTTGCTAAAGCACTCTTTGATGAAATTTACAAACTGCAAACCTTGAAAACTCAATACCCAGTCAAAGAAAACCATGAAACATAAATTTGGGATGTTAGGGCTATTAGAAAATTCTTGAAAACATAGAAACCAAAATAACCATTTCTGAAATGAAATGTTGAAAACTCAAAATTTGAAAAACTAAGATACATCAAAACCCCATGAAAAGATAGGATTTTTTAGACAAAAAAAAAAAAAAAACCCTAGAAATTTTGAAGTGAAGAAAATATGTGGAAAAATGGGAAGAGAATTTTTTGGACAAAAAGCTATTGACTTTTTTTGGGGAAAAAATCGATGAAAAAATTGATGAAAACTACTTGAATAGTTGTTTTATGTACTTTATCATAAGCATGAATAAGGGAAAAAAGAAAACTCAGCAAATAAGCTTCAGTATTTAATATCCCTTGTTTCACATCTTTTTACATTTGCATCTTTTTACATTTGCATCTTCCTTCTCTTTCTCATGAATTTTTCCTTACAATCTTTGTCCACTCTTCCTCCAATACAATCCCTGATAAAACTAAAACCCTACCTTCAATTGCAATCGTTTTGTCTTCAGCAAATGACATTTTCTTTCATGACCACTTACTTCTTTTCCACTCTTTTTCACACCTTCCAATATATCTCCATGTTTCTCTATAAATTCATAGGATAATTTCACCCTTTCTATAATATAGTTGTTAGATGACCAAAAACCCAATAAAAACAACTATAATTGTAGCAAAATGACAACAAATCAAAAGTAACACCTACAGTAGCAACAAGAATCATGTCCATGATAGATTTAGTAACCATCATCACAACATTGAAGTAAAAGCTCCATTGGCAAGCTTATTCATTTTTAGGTAATTTAGGTTTGAGAAACAAAAAGTAAGAGTTGAGAAGAAAAAAAAGAGAATATGGTAAAAAATACAACTTAGGCATTAATGGCGTCAATGAATGATGACACAGAAAAATAAGTTAAGGTGGTTATATGTCACATTTTAAATTTCAAGGGACAAAATCAAATCACGTTTAACCATAAAGTATATATGTATAATTTACCCATTATTTTTAATGCAAGTATTGTGCTTAAAGCTTTAATGAGAGAAAGTTGATGGTTGAAGATTATAAAGAGAAAGGATGAAGGGAAAATGAGAAGATAGTTTTAAATTTTGGTGCTTTAGTTAGGTGTGAAAATAGGAATGTTTTGGTTAAGTAAAAATATAAAGAGGACCATGTTATCTTTGTAGAGATTGACACACAACTTGTGAGGTATTATACGTTTTAACTCGAAAGTCTCATAGTTTTATTTCACAAAAGGTGTCGCATAAGTATAGATTTAAGTATCTACTCATATATCACAGCAAATCCTCAAAACATTCCAATGTAAAATTAGGGTGTTACAAAATCCTCTATTAAACCTTAACGTGCCCATCAAGCTTAACATAATGTACATATATAACTATAGAATTAGGACATACTACATATTGAGAGGTGACTCATCATATAACACTTAACTCCCTTAAAATTCTAAAAATAACTCTCATTATGTAGCATTTAGTTCCCAATCAGTAGGATTCTAAAAGTAACTCCTATGATGTAGCACTTAATTCTTGAACTTCTAGCCAATTATCACTCTAATACTATTTGTAAAGATCTACAACTAACTTGTGTCGTAATTTTTGTCATGATTCAAAGAACTCACAATTTTGTCTCACAAAAGTCACTTCTTTCTTATCAATAAACCAATGTCACATCTTTAGCTATGTGATATTTTTTATGACATGGACATGCCATGTGATAATTAACATCATATGTGATATGTATAATTTACATTGTTAAATATTAATGATTGACTGACAAAAAAATAGACTCATTGACTAAATTAAAAATTTTAATAATTTAATGATTATTTTTTAAAAAATCATATAATTAGGTAACTATTTATGTATTTTACCCTTAAAACAATAAACAGAGAAATTCTATCCTTTTATGG